AAAAAAACCTCTTACCTACGACAACTTAACTACGAAGTTCGTAAAGTTGCGATCATCGTAAGATGAGGCGAGAACGGTATTCACAAACGCGTTCTTAAGTGAGAGGAGGAAAGTTACGACCTCTTACGGGAGAAACGATGACTTCCGGTGCTGTTGCTATGGCAACGGCGTCTTCGGGAAAACGAACAACCAATTAGGGAGCTAGGCATAGTTCGGAACACGTGGATTTTTAATAACAAACACAGGCTAACCACTCGTTGATAGACAGCTCTGTGTATGTCCTGTCCTGTCTGTGTGTAAATGTTTAGTGTTCAAGCTGATTCTCATAAACACGGGCGGCCTTTCCACCACCGCTTGTCTGGGGTTCGTGTCCGTGCAGTGGTATATCGACGCTAACACAATTTAAACGCTTCGTTGACTGCTACAAACTCGATCGCTACGAAGTCAACACAACTGTCATCGTTGGTAAAAGCCCCGTGCCAGTCGTTTGCAAAGCGACGTAGATGGAAACAAACCGCCGCGGCGTTTCTCGCGGCCTCGGAAATGCAGGAGTGAGCCGACGTTAAAAAAGATACGTTTGAACTACGAGAGTGTCAGCAAGAGTCACGCAAATACCTGTTCACACTCGGAGCGGACGCGTGCGTTTGATCAAAGTGCTGGATTCAGACTGCGTTTCGGTAAGCGCTTCGGGACCGATCTTCTACGATTGCAACTCGATACTGACGTGACACTAGGCAAAGAAAGGTTGGACCGGCATCGCATAGCTCCCACGAACTGATATAGCTCGACAGTTAAAAATGGCATACCAATAACAAAGTGTACATACCGTGTTGCGAAGGTAATCGATACGGCGTTTATTTGAGCTCTATATCACACAAAACAAGGAGATATAATCGAGGAGTCCCTTTTCGACGACAGCGTTTGTCACCGCTGCCTCGGAAAACAAGGTGATCGAGATGATAACGGGAATAGGTTGACCTCTGAAATTCAGTTCAGCTATCAAACTATTCATACGGGGAGGGTCCACAAGGGTCGCGTGGGCATATTCCATTCAGCAAGCCAGCCGGTCGTGGGCAGACGGTCTTGGCCAAGGACCGTCTGAGCAATGCAGCGCCGGAACGGGTCGGAGTGCCTGCTAGGCCTATATATTCTGCCGAGCTCGCTTGGTCGGTGGGATCGTTGCCTTTGTTGCCTTTTCCGGGTGTCTGTGGGTTCAGCGTTTATGTTCGTCGTGGTGGGTTTCAAGTACTTCTTCATTTTTTTCTTGCTGCTTGAAGTCGGGACGCGCAAGAAGAGCAGGTAGAAAAATAAATGTCCGTTGGGTCGTCGCGACCGAGGAACTGAGCGACGTTGTCGGCCATGCTAATTTGATCGTAGAAAGTGCGTAAGACAGCTTCGGAGCTGTCGTAGGATTCTGTCGTAACCTGCGCAAAAGTTACGACAATTTCGTTTAGAGAATACGGATTTTCTCTCAAATTTGTCGTACGCATTTTTTTCGTCGTAAGTTCGCTTTGAGAATCCGGCCTCTGGTGCGGACGCGGAACCGGTTTTCATGGAACGCGAGGCTTTTGAGACCTCCACGCGGGAGGCTGGACGGAAAAGTACTTCATTCACTTCAACAGGGACGCCGGGCAGACCTCTGAAAAACTGTCGTACAGCGGAAACGAGGCGACAGGGGTCCCCGTTACGAGAAAAATATGTTCCAAAACGCTCTCGATGTCCTCTTGTCAAGAGGATTCGCGGTCGTTTGGCAAAGCAACACACGGTATCCCTCCCGAGGCCCCGCCCCTCGTGCCGGACACGCGGAAGTAATGCAACACTTCGGGGTCAGGCACGGGCTTATCCCTCTCAGACTGGGCACTGGCTGTTCGCTAGTTGTGCCGGAGCAAGCGGCTGTACGGCGCTCGCAGCACTTGCAGGCAGTGTTGGGAAGTACTTTAAGCACATTGTACCTAAAAAGTACTACTTCTAGTATGTTTAAGACCTTTGCACTTTACTTGAAGTATAATCTCTGAGTATGTACTTGTACTTTACTTAAAGTATTCTTTTTTTCTGATACTTTCGGAGGAAAGTACTATTCCTGACTTCAAAGTACATTTCCCACATTTGGTTATGTTAAATTTGTATCAGAAAATGATGCTTTGCCAACTCTGGAGAAGTACTGGGAGGGATATCCTACACTCTCACCAGAAACGTGAGCAGACGACGCATCGCTCCCTTTGTTCTGGGGTCAGCTTTCAGGAGCTTTTTGAACTATCGCTACTTTTCGGACGGCCAGCGCGAGCGAGGAGGTTAAAAATATTAGAAGAGCAAAATTAACCATAATGTAGCACCTGAGACTGTGCTGAGAAAAAATTAAACTTTCAAGTTTAAGAAAAAAAACTACAGAGGAGAATGTCAGAATGCTTTGAGACATTCTCTTTTGTCTTTTCCTTCGACTTTAAAGTTTCTTCATTTTTTCGCACCCCAATCTCAGGTGTCACTTTATAATTAATTACTACCACCTCGCTCGCACACTCACTGTTTTTGTTTGTTTTTTTGTTTTGTTTGTTTTTCATTAAGGAGGGGACACTCCTCACTGTGAGGATTGCTTGCGGAAGCTACGGGGCTGACGTCAGGCTGTCTCCTAGTACATTTAACCCCCTTGGGTGCAACAGTCCAGCGCAAGCGGCACCAAATTCAGAAGAGGGACTTCTGAATTCGCTTTATTCCTGAAAATAACTACTCTGTGGCCACTTGACTTTATCAAATAGTCGCCGCTGTTTTTGAAAACAAATCATGCACCCCTGATTACCCCTGGGTAATGCATACCAGTTAAAAAATTCACTGTTTAGGGTAATGAAATGGCATCATGAAAGATTGTGTTACGAAGTACTTGTACTTTACTTTGAAAGTACATTGTATTTATAGCACTCTACTTCAAGTAAATTGCACCCCGTGTACTTACTCCTTTACTTGAAGTACATTCGATCTTATTTACTTTGTGCGTTACTCGAAATACCTTTTAGACGTACTTCACCCACCACTGCTTGCAGGTAGGCTACTCCTGCGTAAGCGTGCTGCCTGCCCCTCCGCGTTGCACAATGCGCATGCATGCGCCTGATGACATTGTTCAGCAGAGCAGTCTGCTCCACCTTTCGGCGCTTTCCGGCTAAAGCCGGCACGGACTGCCAGGCTGCTTTCAAGCCGTCCCATTGGGTGGAATCAAGGGACAGTAGAGACAGCGGCCGTGTTAGGCTTTCGCGCAGCTCAGTAACAACCGCGGTTTCGCTCAGGAGGTTCACGTCTAGGTGCCCAAAGGCGCTGCGCCCAGACTGAAACTCTGGAACGCTCAGTACCACACTCACTGCTCTGTGATCCGTAATGGAGTACAGTGCGCCCGGCGGGAGAGGCAGAATCCCGCAACGAGATACCGTGAAAAAGAAAATGAACGGGAAAATAAACTCTGTCTAAGCGACTAGAAGTGCCGCTTAGACAGAGTCCGAATAAGTCGTTAAAGTTCCCTAACGCTTCAAGTAGATCGGCCTCGCACACGACCTTGCACATCTATATTAGAATCAAAACGCAGCTAAATTCTTCAAAAAAAAAAAAAAAAAAAAAAAAACGGCAGCCGTTCGGGAAAAAGGCGTTCAACGAACGAAAGAAAGAATAAATTAATTGCGCTAACGCGTTGCCCTAAAATTCCTTTAATGCAACGCGCGCAGTCACATGTGTCATTCGTGACGTCACGGGTGGCTCCGCGAGTTGCATTATGGGGTTCACATACTAGATTTGGTAGAAATATTTTCTCGCCAAATTTAGCAGAAACTTTCCCACCAAATCTAGCGAAAACTTTTCCCACAAACTTCATCGGGTCCATTGGGTCACACCATCACAGCCACGTGTGACGTCACGTGGCACGTGACGCTACCAACTAGACCACGCCCACACGCTTGCACGGGTTGGCAAGGAGCCCACGTTTATATGAGAAGGCTTTGCGAACGGGACCTTCCACTCTTAAAGGCCATGCATGAGAGTCCACCAAGCTTTTTTGTTGTTTTTTCCTTTGACGAATTGCTCGTGCATCTATTCTTTTCGAAGTTCCCCTGATAAAGTTGAACACATTCCCCTAATGTTAAACATGCCGGCCCTGGTCCCCTTTGAAACATGTCATGTCTGAGAACCGCAATGTGATTGTGTGTTTTCTGTGGTCGATGCGTAGCTTGACAGAAGAACCGAAACATCTACCAACAGAGGTGCTGCTGTCCTGTGCAGTCAATCGAGCTAATATGCGTTTATTTTAGCGCATGGCCTTTCATTCATCCACCGGTACCTTACTGTTATCCACATTACCCTAACGCGGCCGCTGTCAACGAACTTGCCTATGTATACCCAAAAGTGGAAAGTAGTTCAAATATTCTAGTATTAAATCGTTTTAAATTGTTTCCAGAAGCAGTACGGGAACCATGATTCAGGCTTTCATTGTAGTTTAACGGGCGCCCGTGATGCGTAGTTGATTGATTTGTTAATATCACTCACTCGAAAAAGATTGTTCAGTTGAGAGTAAGCGCTCGTCCCGTCCGCTTCTTTCATTGTCCTTGTCTATAGCTAGCGCTTTTTATATTAGATAATATTTCATTGCACAGTTAATTTTCGGACAAGTGCATCATCATAAGTAGTAACGTCACCGAAATTTGAGATTTCACTCGAGTGTCCGAGCGACGACGAACCATAGCGGGGCTTTCTAGTGGCCGGCGGAAGCGGTTTCCCCATCTGGGGCCAGCGACCACAAAGGAGGCCGAAGCACCCGAAGGGCAGCGGCATAATAACGCCGCAAGCTTTCACCGGATGGCGCCAGCAGCGCCACCGAGCCCCCCGCAATCGAAACCACGCGCTCCGTCCGCCCGGATATATGGCGAGGCGGAGCGCCAAGCCGGCCGCGCGAGACACGCACACTGCGGCGAAGCCCAACTTCTCCGGTAACACGGGAGGCGCTGCAAGTTCGACGCCGAGTGAGGAAGCGAAACCCCAGCGCGCGGCGGTGTGCGGTGCCAGCGCAGCTGCGAACCTCGCTGTGGGATTAATTGTCGGAGCTGGGACGAGCCCTGCCGCGGGGCTGAGGCAACTGCTGCACTGCCTGCCGCCAGCCGCCGGTGAGTCAGCAGAGCCCCCGTGACAGCCGATGAAGCGGTCGTCGCGTCGCGGGTCGGTTCGCCCGAGCACGTGGGTTCCGGTCTCAACGGAAAAGAGTTCTGCTTCCGCCGCTTCCGCTGACAGTTTCTTTCTTTAACGGGGGATTCACGCAGTTGGCAGCCGATACGCTCTAATACGAAGTCTGGGAGTGTACAGTCTAAGAAATCTGGAGCGTCTGCTTTCCCGCAAAGCACTCGAAAGCGTCAAGCGCTCCAATCTACGGAGGGTACTCGGGAATGACGAGGCTGGTTATATGTTCATACTATGAGACAATAAGCGGGTTGCCGTCGCCCACCATTCGTGTTTTTGGCCTAATCATATTTTGAGCTTCGTCGTTCGCTGGAATCCTTCTGCTCTTCGCCGTGATTACCTTCTTCCTCTTCTTGAGAAATGCAAACTCACTTTTTTTCTTCTTTTTTTTTTCTTGAGTGCGCGGTTTTGGAATGTTTTGCGTGTATATACATTTCCAAAAAAGGGCTCCTGGCCGGTTCCATTTTGAGTTTTTGTGCGTATGGCGCGGGCTTTGCTGGCTTTCCGAAGCGATGAACACGCCCGTGCTGCGCTGTGAAGACCGCACGCTGGACTCTGATTTTGTAAACATTGGAAAGGTCTATACTATACTCCGTTTACCCTTAAGCTAAAACTGCTGCCACAGTTACAAGCACGAGCTAGCCCGCACTCCTGGCTTTGAGACGCGCATTTCCAGGGCGAGCGCTCGTTCTGAGGAAGAAAGTTTCGAAGCCGCGATCTGGAGCACTCGTGTTTGTGGCATTGGTTTCACTATGAGTTTAAAGGCCGACGTTCAAACTCGGTTTTCTGCAGGGAAGGTCTTTGCGCTCCCCTCGCCTAAGCTCCGGGTGGAGCCAAGTTGGGGCAGTGTAAAAAGTGGAGAGGATATAGGAAAGGAGAAGGTGAGTAAAAGTGTAAAGCGTCAAGTGTACGTCGGCCTTTAAGGTTGAACAAAGTACGGATGTGTCTATCTATTCGGAACTTCCGATAATTCGTGAACGGTGCGTGCTACTGGGTTCGTTATCCAGCACATCTTTTACAGTTTCGAGTATTTGAGTTTTTGAATATTCGAATATTAAGATTGTAGTCGAGACTTCATTGATTTCCCGCGTCGAGCTTTACTGCTTTGCACCCGTGTGCTCCGTGAAGCAGTTGACGTATCGGGGCAATCACGGTTGGCTCGATGGGCTTGGAAAGCTTGAGCTCACCTTTGAATACTGTGAAAGTTTTACCCGTAATTCTAACAAACAAAGAAAAAAAAAACAAAAAAAACATCGAGCTTCGAGTATATTTAAATAAATGGGAGTCATTGCAAGGCCCGTTACATTATGTTTTGCTTAACTAGTCGTGTCATGGCCCTGTTTCTTACGATAAGTATGCGAAGCGTTTCCCATCCTATACAATTGTTTTCTTTCGTATAGGTGTTTAAAAAAAATAATTATATTGTCGCAGAGAGCTTAAGAAACACAAGGCGTGGTGATTCTCGATCATCTTCCACTCATCGCTCCGAAGCCAATGAGATTTTGGAATGAGTCGATACAAAAGCGCAAATCACAAAGCAAGAAGCATGATCATAACATGCCCTGTGTCTCCCAAGCTCTGACTATAGAGTCGGGATTTATCGAGATAACTACGCTCAATCCACATTAAGTACAAAATATTAGCTTTCGAAATATTCGAATCGCAATCTAATTGTAGTACGCGTGTAGGGTTCGATGCAAAAAAATGTTTATATTCACATAGCACTTCTGTATAAGAAGTAAAATTGTCGTGTGCATGTTTATAGAGCCGGAAGTTAGTCTGCCTTGCCTTAGTGGGCCACTTGTCTTTCAGCTGAGATGAGCAATTTAGCCAGTGCAGTACAACGGCCTGGGATCTTTAACGTGCACCACGCAGTAGTGATACACGACCGCACACCGGTACGATGCTCATCCGGATCGAAACAGGCAGCGGTGGGGATTGAGCCCAGGATCCTATACTCGGTTTCATACTTTGTGTGCAACGCTGTCAAAGCTACTGGCGCGAGCATGGGGCTTGATGTCGTTGATCATCTGCGCGCGTTCTCGCGCAAACAAACTAACCGGATGTGTAGTCAGCGACATCCTGAGAAACGGAGGGAGTTGCTTATTACATTCACGCTTCGGAATCCGTTCTTCGGCGCTCTTATCGGCCGCCATGTGAATGGCTGCGGAGATATAACGAGAGAAACCTCGGACGGCACGCGTTTCTTCAGCTATCGGTGACCACAGGGGAAGCCGAGGATGGCTGAAAGGCGAGACACGGCGCAACATTGATTGGGAATTTCGAATTATTGGTATTGTCGAAAGTTTTAAGCGTTCGTCTTCGATGGAACACCATTATTTCGGCGTGTCGTTCAGCGTGTCTCTTCACAAAGGATCGATCCGTCTTCCGCAGTAACTTTAGAAGGATTTTGAAAGCTCAGACCGCAGTTCGGCGTGGCGTATAGTTTGAAGATCTTGGGCGGCCGAATATAGGGAAGGCCACTAACTGCATGCCGGCGGTGGAGGTGTTTCCGCTCGTCCGCATATTCCGAGCAGGAAAGGAAAGCCCAGGTCCAATATCTCCTCGTGCATCGTCGTGTTGGCAGTTGGGATCATGGACCCTTCGAAGTTCGGAGAGAGCGGATCGGGTGTCTGCGCAAATGGACCCTAGGCGATGTTGTAAAGCCGCCTCATCCCTGGCAAGCTTTCGAGGAATTTCAGGTTTCGGGGGTCGGGGGGAGGCGATTTTTGAGTGAGATTGTCGCTTTAGGCAATGCGCGGAGATGAAACGACGTACTTCGCTGCACCGCAGAAAGACGAATACGGGAGACTGTGCACCACGTTCGAGAGGGCATCAATCTTCTTGTTCCCTAAAACCGCAGTAACACTATATACCCATACATTATACGAAAGACACAATGTTCGCTGCCGACATGATGACTCAGGTGTCTGCGGACACGCGTCAGGCGTCTTCGAATCATGTTTGCATCATGCTAATGTATATCCTTCGAACATGTCTACAGAAAAATTCTGTATGACCAAGGTGACAACACCATCGTACAAAACTCAAGCACACCTATAGCACGGATAGTGTCTGCATATTGTCTTTTGTTTTAGCAGTGCGACGGCAGCTTAAAAGGCCCCTGTGCCCCGGGAGCCACTGGAAGGCAAGTTGCCAACGCATCTTCAAAGGCAAACTTGCAGCAGCCACCGTGGTTAACAACCAGCGATCGAGGCTTCCTTTTCAGATCGCTGAAGCAGATCCAGGGCCGCCCTGGAGTCGGTTAACATTCCCGCTTTTCTCGGTTGTTTCGTTTTGAGCAGCGATTTCGATGCCTTCAACATAGCTACCAACTCCGTTGTCGTTGAGGTCGTGGCAAAGTTCAGCCGATCAGCAGCGCGCGTATTATCGGCAGATATGTATACTACGGCTCTCGCCGGGCTTGTAGAACCGTTTGAGACGTTAAAGGCCGACTACCAGAATGGAGGTTCTGCAAGGCAGAAGATCCTCCTCACCATGGGGGAGGAGGAAACAGGCAGTGGTGGGAAGGGTAGGAAGGGGAGAGGAGGAATCGGGGGAAAGGTGGAAATCGCGAACTGTACGTCGGCCTTTAAGCTCAACGTCACGTTACAGACTTCGTTTACAGATCTGAGCATATTTTATTCACGTTATTCGCCGTTTTCTTTTTTTTTTCGGTTGTGATTGGCTATACGCGTGCTCTGCGGGAAAGTAGACGCGTAGGCAGCTTTGAGAGAGTGCACCTCAGGTGAGATGGAGACGGAACATGCCTTTGCAAACTTGTGCAAGGTGAGATAGAAGAAAACAAAAACCAGCTTTTGTTCATTCAGAAATAAACTGCGCATCACCGAACGCTCCGCTCCCGCCCCAATTTGGCACTAGCGAACCGGACCAGATGTCACATATTCAGGACTTAGCTTTAGCTGATTAAAAAGTTATTATACTTCGTTTCAGCTTCGGTCCGAGCGCGGCCGCTGTTACGAGCCGAAGGGCCAATCAAAGAGCGCAAAAAGCGCGGCGTCATGGCGTGCTCTCTGCTCCTGATAGGACTAGCCGGCGGAGGAGCGCGCACAGAGACACGGCGAATACCGGCTGGCCCTATCAACTGCAGAGAGCACGCCATGACGTTACGCTTTTTGTGCTGTTTGATTGGCCCTTCTGCTCATAACATTGGCCGCGCTCGGAGCGAAGCTGAAACCAAGTATAGCCATTTTTTTTTAGACTTTCAGGGTAAATGGCGACCAACGGAGTCCGCGAATAGATGCAGATGAATGGAAAACGCTAGCGGGAACGCGCCTCATTTTTGTATCGAAACTTTCTTGAAATCGCTCCTAACTTTTTGCTTGGATAATGGTAAGTGCTGAAAGTTGGGCATTTAATAATAATGTTTATTTTTCCGTCAAAACACAAATGACGGAGGGAGACCGAGGAAAAAAGCTGCATCCTGCAGCTTTACGGCTCCTCGGCCCCCCCTCCTTACACATTGCAGCATTGGCACAAGTAATCCAAAAAGGAAACCAAGAGAAAAGATAACAATCTCAGAGATAAGAACAGGACAATATTACAAAAAGGTGCGACTATATAAGAGGCAAACAAAATCAAAGCACATGCAAGCAAAGCATTATACAATTCAGCAAAAATTTAGGTTATGAAACATGACAACTAAGCAATCACATTTGGAAAAGAAAAAAATGCTCGGAGATTTTTTACAGATGTTGTCGGAAGGTCAATGTTGTGCTTGTGAGTAACAAGAAAATTAAGCAGTCGAGGAAGTGCATACTTTAACATTTGTTCACCGTAGTTAGTTTTGCAAATAGCGAGCGTCCAAATTTCCGTGTTTCGAGTAGGATATGTTGCTACTCTTAGCGAGAGAGACGCCAATTCACTAAGGGCATGAAGATTTGTTTGTACCTCTGATTTATAGGTAATG